CAATGTTGACCATCTTTTCATGTGCCATGAAAAGACCATCTTTATTAACCCTCTGTATATCTTTGTAGAAATGTCTGTTTAATTCCTTTGCCTGTTGTTTACCTGGGTTGTTTGTCTCTATTGTTGAGTTTTAGGAGTTCTTTCTATACTCTGGATACTAACCCCTTATTGAACATATGACTCCCAAATATTTTCTCCCATTCTGTGGGTTGTCTTCACTTTCGTCATAGTGTGCTTTGATATACCAAAGTTTCAAATTTTGATGAGGTCCAATTTATGTATTTTTTCTTATGCAACTTGTTTTTTTTGGTGTCATTTCTAAGAAACCACTGCCAAATCCAAGCTCATGAAGATTTATCCCCATCTTCTTCTGAAAATGTCATAGCTTTAGTTCTTACATTTAGGTCTTTGACTTATTTTTAGTTAGTTTTTATATGGCATGTGGTAAGGGTCCAACTTCATTCTTTTGTATGTGGATGTCCAGTTTTATCAGCACCATTTGTTGAAAACGCTGTCCTATACCATTGAATGTTCTTGTGACCCTTGTTGAAAATCATTTAATCATATATGCAAGTGTTTACTTCTGGGCTCTCTCTTCTATTCCATTGGTCTATATGTATGTCACTGTACCAGGACCACACCATGGGAGTTTTAATTACTGTGGCTTTGTAGTAGATTAATGTGAGTCCTCCAACTTTGTTATTTTTTTTTCAAGACTGTTTTTGCTAATAGGGGACCCTTGCAATTTCATGGGAATTTGAGGATCAGCGTTTCCATTAAGAAAAAAAAAGGCTGTTGATATGTTGATAGGGATTGTGTTGAATCTGTAGATCAGTTTGGGTAGCAGGGACACCCTGATACAGTTAAGTCTTCCTGTCCAGGAACATGCAGATGTCTTTCCATTTATTAGGTCATCTCTAATTTCTTTCAGCAAAATTTTGTAGTTTTAAGCATATAAATTTTTCACTTCCTTGATTACAGTTTAAGTAGGCTTCATGCTCAGTGGGGAGCCCAAGAGGGAGCTTGAACTCATGATCTAAGAGATCGAGACCTGTGTGTAGATCAAAAGTCTGCACTCAACAAACTGAGCCACCCAGGCACTCATCCTTGATTTAGTCTTAAGTATTTACTTCTTTGAGGTGCTATTATAAATGGAATTATTGTCTTAATTTCCCTTTTAAATTATTCATTGTTCATGTATAGAAACACAACTGATTTGTGAGTATTGATCTTGTACCCTGCAACTTTGCTGAACTCATCTATTAGTTTGAGTAACTTTCTCATGGATTCATTGGCATTTTCTATATATAGGATCACGTCACTATAAACAGAGATAGTTTTATCTCTTCCTTTCTAATTCAAATGCCTTTTACTTCCTTTTGTTATCTCTAATGTCTCTGACTAGAACTTCCAGCACAATGTTGAGTAGAAGTAGTGGAAGCATGCTTCCTGGCCTTATTCCTGATCTTAGGGAGAAAGCTTTCAGTCTTTCATCATTGTAAATGACATTAACTGGGTTTTCCATAAATACTGTTTATCATGTTGAGGATTTTCCCTCTAATCATAGTTCTCTGAGAGTTTTTGTCCTGAAATGGTGTTGTATTTTTAGAACTATCTCTTCTATGTCAGTTGAGATAATCTCCCCCCACTGCCGCCATTGTTCTGTTCATGTGACGCGCTTCCCAGATTTTTCTGATGTGGAGCACCTTTGCATTTCTGGAATCAATCTCACTTGTTCATGGTGAGTAATTCTTCTAATATGCTGTTGGTTTCCATTTGCTAAAATTTTGTTGAAGTTATTCATGTCTTCAAATTTTCATCGGGGATATTGGTCTATAGTTTTCTTGTGATGTTTTTATCTGACTTTGGGATCAGGGTAATCTTGGCCTCATAGAATGAGTTAGAAAGTATTCCCTCCTCTTCAGTTTTTTGGAAAACTTTGAGAAGGAAGCACATCTACTCTTGCAACCTCTAAATGTGAGCACATTCCCCAGCTCAATCAATCATAGCCCCTCTTCCATTCTGTCTGCACATTCGGTCCCTCATCTCTAAATACACTGATGTATGAATGCTTCCAGCTTTGCAATTTCAGCCTGACCTCTACTCTCAGTCCCAAGCGTAGGCACCAGTTAGTCCGTCCAACACATCTAACAGACGTCTCAATGTCAACATGCCTTCTCCTCCCCAGCCTGCTTCTCCTCCAGTCTCTCATACTTCAGTAAAGGGGGCCAACCTCCACCTGCTGATCAGGCCTCAAATCCTTGAATTGCTGTTTTGGTGCTAATTCTTCTTTTTTTTAATTTATTTTTGAGAGAGAGAAAGAGCATGAGTGGGGACATGCAGAGAGAGAGGGAGACACAGAATCCGAAGCAGGCTCCAGGCACTGACCTGTCAGCACAGAGCCCAATGTGGGGCTCAAACCCACAGACCATGAGATTGTGACCTGAGCCAAAGTTGGACGCTTAACCGACTGAGCCACCAGGTGCCCCTTTGGTGCTAATTCTTAACTGCAGACACCAGAATCTACTGTAGCTAATTTAAGCAGCAAGGGACGTATTATAAGATATTGGATAGATTACAGCATCTGTGCGAAGGGCCGATAACCAGGAACATCCAGGAATGTCAGCAACCTGGAGAAATACCCAACCATTCTGTAGAATTGCTTTGGGGGAACTCCCCACAGACCTGTTTCCTTCTGCTCAGCCCCGGCACTACCAGGGATGAGTCCCAAACTGCCCTAGATGAACCAAACACTTCTACCACCAATCTATGGTGGTACTACTACCACTATGAGAGTCACCACTTCCTGTGATTCCTTCCACATTTTATGTGGTGCATGTATTAGCAAAACCAGACACATCTGCACTCTCAGATGCAAGGGATCTGAGGCATGTAGTTTTGCAGTCTCCAGTTTCTGCAGGCAGGAGAGTATGCTAGTGGTGGCTGGCACAGGCCACTGTCCATCTCAGTTGTTCTTTCCCTGACTCTTCAGGGATCTGGCTATCATCTTGTCCTCCCAGTTCTCTCTGCCTTTACTGTGGCCACTTCTCACAACCTCTGTCGCTCCCACCTCAACCCAGCCCATCACTCTCACTGAGACTGTGACAGTTGCTTCCTGATGGGTCTCCCTGCCTCAACCAGCTGTGGTCTCCACACTGCAGATGATGTCACTTCCTTCCCAAACCCTCTCCACAGTGATTTCTCACGATGCTCAGAATAAAACAAAGCCCATCACCATGACCTACTTATCCCTGTAGCATTTCTAATCTCAGTTGCTTTGCATCTGCCCTCCTTCACCATGCTCCCAGGTACAAGGCCTTTCTCAAGCACACCAGAACCATTCCCACCCCAGAGCCTTTGCACACATGGAAGTAAGTAAGCAGATTCCCCCCCCCCCACACACACTCTCTTCTGGTCCCTCTATAGTCTTCTCTGCCTGGACCATCTGCTATTGTGCTTTATTCTCTGTTCATTGGATTATTGTTTGTCTCCCTTCATTGGAATATCAGACCCCCAGAGGCTTGACTGGACCATGCAATGATTGGCCAAAAGTAGGTGATCCATAAATATTTTTAGAATAAATCAAGCCACCTCAGTAGAATTTTTGGAGAAACTTAGAAAACACTTCTGACTCTATGGATACAAAACAAAGAAGGAACCTCATTCTTAGAAACTGGCTGTTCCTGTGTGAGCTCTGGTTTCCCTTTGCACAACAGGTATGGCAAAGGTGAGCTTCACCTATAGGACCCAAAATCTCCAGTAAGAGTGAGATTCTGGAGCTGCACCCTGAACAGGCATCCAGGGCACTCTCAGCCTCCCCTGGGGTCAGCTTCCGGATCTTGGAGGAGGTCGCCAGGGACAAAGTCACCTGCTCTGGAGGCGTGCCAGCGTCCCCAAGCTCTGTCCTGGGATGTGCTTGGGGACCACACGGGTTATAAAGCAAGGCTCCTATTCCTGGAGCATCATGGGCAGGACTCCCACAGGGAGAGGAGGGGAGAGGAGGGTGAGGCTGGGATGGTTAGGGGGCTTCAGGGACAAAGGAACACCCTGTCCCGAGACAGGGCTGGAGGTTCCAGGAAGTAGAGCAGATGATTGAGGCAGGGGCCAATGGAAGGAATTTAAAAAGGCCAGTGTGATGGGTGAGGGAGGGCAACTCATCTCTGCCTCCCTTACCTTTCTTTATTCTGTACCCCGTGGCCAGGAGCCTTTGCCTCCAAAGCTGCTGATTTCTCTGAAAAACTGAACTTTATGCCTAAACGAGCACATTTGTCCTGCACTGAGTGGGATGAGCCAGTGCCCCTATTTCTAGTAAAGACACAGCGCAGGGTGAGAAACCTGACTGGTTCTTCTGTGAGACAACCCCTGGCTCCCCTGGGGGAGCATCCCATCAACTAGCGTGTCCCCTTGGACGGAAGAGAAGGCTAGTCCATCTTTGCCAGCGGAAATCAGGTACGAGCCCGTCTTTGCTGGGGGAAATCCGACGCAGCGCCCCAGCCACCGGTCTGAGAACACAATGTCCGGTCCGAGGCTTCAGGAGAACAAAAGTAAGAGCAAACGCCCCACCCCCCACCCCCACCCGCTGCGGAGGGAGGAGCCCCGCGCTCCCGCCCCCACGACCGCCCAGGTGAGGGCACCTGCGCGCGGGGTCTGCCCGCGGGAAGGTGAGGGCGGCCCCTCGGCCACGCTGCGTGGACTGTCCGCCAGGGAAGGGGGCCCGCCCTGTGGAAAGGGGGTCTGCAGGGGAGGGCCCAGCGGAGCAGGAGGTCTGCCTGCGGGAATGGGGTCTGCAGGTGGAGGGGGTGCGCCCAGCGGGGGGGGTGGGGGTCGGCGGTGTGTGTGGGTGGGCATCTGCTCCCGGCGGAGGAGGGGGGTTTCCGGGGCCGGGGGTCCGCCCAGCGGGGAGGGGGGCTCGCGCCGCCGACTCGGACGTGGCGGGCGGGGCGCCGGGAGAGTCGCGCGCCGGACAGTGGCCTTTAGGGGAACGTTTTCTTCCGAGGTCGGGACAAAGACGGCGCCACCATGGCTCTCAGCGCGGCCGCCAGAGGCTCCGGCACCAAGGTAGGGTCCGGCCGGGGTGGCTGGGCAGGGGTCCCGAGGGCCGCCGCTGAGGAGGGGATGGAGCTTAAGCACCAGTTTAGCAAATGTTTGCCTTAACCTCATGAATATTTATGAGAAAGTGTGGTTTTCGAGACCGGTTTGCAGTGCTAGGCTCTGAAGGGGGGCGGGGGGGGGGGCGGTGCGGGACTAAAAGCACCTGCCGAGTGGTTGCTGCGGTTAGTCCCTTGTTATTTATTAGCTGGGCCCGGAGAACGAACCGGCGAACCAGGGCGCTCAAAGACAAAGACGTGGTACTTAAAAAAATGCCAAGATGCATTTGTTTGTTGGAGCTCGGTTGATTTCAATAACGAAGGTAGTCTAGTAAAACAAGACGGGCCTTTCAGGGGTGGGAAAGTGTGATGCACACGGATTTGTATTTCCTTGTGTGAAATGCAAAAAGTGTGTTGGATTTGTCTCCCCTCTTTCCTGTGAAGGTGGATTACAGAGTGTTTGCTGTAATAATTACACTCCACTCCTGTTACCCACAGTACTTTGACTTAAAAAGTTTAGTTGATACTTTAAGGTGTCTAATTAAGAATTAAAACATATAATTAAAAAATTAAGTTAAATACAGTTGAAACTGTGCATAATTAATAGCTTACGAATCTGCTGCGTTAAACTGGCTGAGCTTTAGGCAGGCTGTGGGCACGGGGGTGGGGGGGTGGGGGAGTGGCTTCTCAGCTTCACGGAGGGATTTCAGAGTGAACAGAGTGACATTCGGCTTTCCATCTCCTGAATCTGCTTCAGATTCACAGGATTTCTGGGTCAGGAGGAACTTTAGATGTCACTTTTGCTCTCAGTAAAAATACACTCACGTTCTGAGATAGTTACTAGCAACACATTTCCCTTCCTGACGGACTCAGATCTGTGTTTTCTGTGCTGGGCATCCGACACTGAGGTAATAAACTCACTTCTGATCCTGATGCAACACCACATTTTGATCTCCCTGTGCTTTGGGGCACAAGTGGATGGTCCAGGTGGGCCTCGAGAGGACAGCTAACCTGTGGCACCCAGGGCAGGCCTCGTCATTTCATCCCATTTGTGCAGGCCTTGTCTGAAATGGCTTGTGAAACATGGACCTTTATGTCTGTGTCATCCTTCGGTGATCTCCCATGAATACTTTCTTACTTGTAAAGCATCCCAAAAATGGCAGGCTAAGGAAATAGTTGGACTGAATTTGCCCTCAGGCTCTCTGAGATGTGTTCACTGGTTGTATCTTCCAGCCAAACACAGGAAACCCCAGATTCCCAGATCTCAGTGTTTTTTGTGAGAATAATTCAAGCCCAATTCACACGCCACCGCCTGCCCTCTCCTTCCAAACAGAGCTAATGTGCACCCTCTCTGTGTTTGAACAAAATTAAAAATCACTCAGAACCTGCTAGTTACCCAGTCTACTGCCACGCAGCAGCCCTGAAACAGTGGTTTTCCTTTCCACACAGCTGTGTCCTGAAGCAATGCACCCCTGCGTAGGATTTACCCTCCTGCCTTATCAGCTCTGGGCTGCTGCTTTTCCTCTATCCCTGCACCCCTGGCAGGGTCTGCCACTCAACAGGTGTGCACAGGCAGGTTCTCACGGATCCAGCAAATAAGAATGCGTGCAGGGAGACAATTAGTCCTGTCTGAGAGCCCAGCAGACTTCTGAGGGGGCAGGGAATGAAGAGAAGGAGGCAGGGGTACAGAGGAGTGGGCTGAGAGGTGGCAAATCCTGCCCTGCACGTGTTGATCCTGGGGCACCTTGAGAACCTGGGGTCCTGTGAGCAGAAGGCACCCTATAATTGCCATCTAACCTACAAGGGGCCAAGGAGGGCAGGTGCCTATGGAGTGGGAAAGAGGTTCTGGACCCTGGCCTGGTGCCTGGAGAGCATTCCTGGGATCTTAAGGATTTGATGCGCACCCACATCCACCCTCTATTAGCTGTTGCCCTTTTGGCCTTGTAGATCAGCCTCTCTGAGCTTCAGTCTGTTAATTTACAGGAAGAGTTATGGCCCACCTACCTCAGAGCACCATATCGATCTACTTTAAAAATGGATATGTAGATGCTTCTTGAAAGGTAACCCAGCTTATCTTTCAGCTGAATGTTCCTAAGTTGAAGGTTTCTTCTGTCCTGAGAGCTGGGAGACCTTTCCAGGTGTTTCTAGGTGCCTCAGTTCACACTCTGGCCCCAAATTCTCAAAAGAGCTTTCAGATACTGTTAGACAAGTATCTGACCTTACAGAATTTTTCCCTAAATTGAGAAAATCAAATTGTGGCTCAGCCGGTTAAGCATCTGACTCTTGATCTCAGCTCAGATCTTGATCTCAGGGTCATGAGTTCAAGCCCTGTGTTGGGCTCCATGCTGGGCATGAAGCCTACTTTGAAAACAAAAACAAACAAGCAAACCCCAAAAGCAAGAACAACAAAGATGATACTTGGCAGTAAAGTTCTTTTACATGACTTTAAAACATCTTATGTTTCTAAGACCTGAGAAGGGGATTAAATCTAAGGCCTACAACAGTTTGGGACATAAATTAATCTGAAGTTCAGCACTAGAGTTGTTCAAGTCAGAGAGGTGGCAAGTATGTGCACCTCTCACACAGAGATATTATCTGCCTGCAGCCCTGGACCCAGAGACCCCCCCCACCCCAGTAGGCATCACCCTCAGAAAGCTCCCCTGGTCATCCTGTCTGCACCCCTTCCACAGCCACACATACACCCCGGCCCCTTTCCTGCTTGGCTTCACCATACTAGGGCCTCCATGGGAGGGTCTGAACTAACATTACCTTGTGCCTGACTTTTGTTGACTGCCTGTCTCCCCGGGCAGTACCAGCTGTGCTTCATTTCACTTGTTACTCTGCTACTTATAATAGTGCATGGCTTAAAGTCAGTGCTCAACAAACATTTGTCACATGGTGGTTACCTACCCCCTCTTCTGAAGCCCATTTTGAGAGAAGGAGAGAGCCAACATGATCAGGGGAGGGTTAGAGAGAGAGGGAGATATAGAATCTGAAACAGGCTCTAGGCTCTGAGCTGGCTGTCAGCACAGAGCCCGATGCGGGGCTCGAACCCACGAACCGTGAGATCATGACCTGAGCTAAAGTCAGTCGCTTAACCGACTGAGCCACCCAGGTGCCCCTATTTTCTCCTTTTTAAATAGTCTTGGAACCCAGGTTGGAAGTCAACTGGCCATAGTTGTACAGGTTTATTTATGAATCTTCAGTCCTTTTCTGTTGTTCTGTGGGTCTGTCTTTATGCTAGAATCACACTGTTTTGATGACTGTAGCTTTATAGTGGGGTTCTGAAATCAGGAAGTGTGAGTCCTCCAACTTTGTTCAGGATTGCTTTGGCTGGTCAGGTTCCATTGAAATTCCATATGAATTTGAGGACTGTCTTTTCCATTTCTGGGAAAAAAGGCCATTGCAAATTTGAGAGAGATTGCATTGAGTTTGTAGATTGCTTTGAATAGTATTAACATCTTACCAATATCAGGTCTTCTGATTATAAACCTGGGATGTTTTTCCCATTTCTTTAGGTTTCTTTAATTTCTCCCAGTACTGTTTTGTAGCTTTCAGTTGTTCAGGTCCTTGGTTAGATACATCCTAGATAACAGTCACCACTTCTAGTGCTAGAAGTCCTAGTCACAAAAATCAGACAACATAAAGAAATAAAAGCCATCCAAATTGATTAGGAAGTTGTAAAATTCTCATTATTTGCAGAAGATCTGATATGCTATATACAGAAGCCCAAAAGACTCCACCAAAACACTTAGAACTGATAAATAAATTCAGTAAGGTCACAGGATACAAAATCAATGTACAGAAATCTGTTTCATTTCTATATACTAATAATGAAGCAGCAAAGAGTGAAATTAAGAAAACAATTCCATTTGGGGCACCTGGGTGGTTCCATTGGTTTAGCATCTGACTCTTGATTTCGGCTCTGCTCATGATCTCGCGGCTGGTGAGTTTAAGCCCCACATCAGGCTCCATGCTGACAATATAGAGCCTCCTTGGGATACTCTGTCTCTCTCCCTTTCTTTCTGCCCCTCCTCTGTTCATGTTTTCTCTCTCTCTGTCAAAATAAATAAATAAACTTAGGGGGGAAAAAAGAAAACAATCTCATTTGTAATTGTGCCAAAATAATAAAATACCTAGGAATGAACTTAACCAATGAAACCTGTACTCTGAAAACTATAAAACATTGATGAAAGAAATTGAAGATGACACACAAAAAAATGGAAAGACATTCCATGCTCATGGATTGGAAGAACAAATACTATTACCTGTCTATACTACCCAAAGCAATCTACAGATTTAATGTAATCCCTACCAAAAGACTAACAGCATTTTTCACAGAACTAAAACAAGCAATCCTAAAATTTGTATGGAACCACAAAAGACCTCGGGTAGCCAAAGCAATCTTGAAAAAGAAAAATGGGGCACCTGGGTGGCTCAGTTAGTTAAGCGTCCCACTTCAACTCAGCTCATGATCTCATGATGAATCTGAGCCGCTTGTCAGGCTCTGTGCTGACAGCTCAGAGCCTGGAGCTTGCTTCAGATTCTGTGTCTCCTGCTCTCTCTGCCCCTCTCCCCTTCATGCTCTGTCTCTCTCTGTCTCTGAAAAATGAATAAACCTTTAAAAAAATTTAGGGAACAGAGAAACAAATCTGGAGACATAACATTTCCAGATTTCAAGTTATATTACAAAGCAGTAGTAAATAGGTACTGACATAAAGAGACACATAGACCAATGGAATAGAATAGAAAATCCAGAAATAAACCAACAATAAACCCACAATTATGTGGTCAATTAATCTTCCACAAAGGAAGAATGAATATACAATGGGAAAAAGACCATCTTTTCAAGAACTGGTATTGGGAAAACTGGACAGCTACATGCAAAAGAATGAAACTGGACCACTTTCTCTCACCATACACAAAAATACACTCAAAATGGATTAAAGACTTAAACATGAGACCTGAAAC